GTGGCAGGTTTTGGCCCGTACCGCGTGTTGCCGGTGGCCGAGCAGGCGGGTCAGTGGCTGGCCGGCCACATCCGAGCCCCTCAGGATCCTCTGGAGAAAGGGCAGGTGCTCCGGACAGGCCCGGGCCACATGGGTCAAGAGAGACAGGAGGTCAGTTGTGAGCGTGAGGCTGTCTGTAAACAAGGCGGACGTCAAGAAGGCAATGACGTGCTCTGAGGCGGCGGCTGCCCTCACCATTTGGTCGATGACCTGCTCATCAGACACAACGAGGTGGCACAAGAGGCTCATGGGGAGCTCGGTGTACGAGAAGGGCAGATGGTGAGAGCAGACCTAAGGAGAAAGGAGAGAGAGTGGCGCTGAGCGCACTGTCCTTGCACACGGGCCAGAGAGCGGTTGGGGCCTGACCCATGGCAAGTCAAGCAGCAGCTGAAAGCTGCCAGCAGGTCGCTGCAGAGCTCAGCCGCCGGCCAAGCCGCTCCGAGGGCTGCATGGCACCCGAGTGACATCCCTGCGTGCAGAAATCACCAGCACGGTGTGAAGTGGTGCCACACATCAGGGGCTGCAATGTGGGGAGGTGTCTCCACAGCATGGGGTGGAAGAGAAACGCGGGGCCAAGAGGGTACCTGCAACAGCTGGGCAGGGATCTGGGCATCTCTCACAGCCTCCATGACCAATGCTAAGGTGTCTCCATCCACATCCAGGGCAAAAGGGAAACAGAGGAGCTGGCAGGCCTGGATCACCACAGCTGGGACGAGCTCAGGGTCCCCATCCTCTCCTGCTTGCCTGAATTTGTTAGAGAGAGGGAGCTTAATACAGAGGTGATCAGAAAAACATCAAGGCAAGAGGCAGGGAGCATTCCCCACACCAGGCACTAAGGAGAGGCTCTGCAGGTGAGCTGCACCCTGCAAGTGCCAGGTCAGTAATTTCTGCAGCCCTCTGTGTGCTTGGGTCCAAGCCCCGTTCAGCGGCCGAGCTCTGCCCGCTTCAGCCCTCTCCACAACTCACGTCTGTGCCAGGCATGCCAGGAAGCCGGGGGACAGCAGCCTCTTCAGCGTCACCATGAGGACACCGTGGGACTGGGTGAGCTGAGGCAGGCACCGGTGGGACTCGCGAGTGAAGACGAAGAGGGCCAGGCTGAGGAAGAGCAGGGTGCCTGCAGGGGCAACAGCGCAGCAGAGGGGCAAAGCTAGGGAAGGCTGAAAAGTCTCCTCTCTTCTGTCTGCCTGTACTGCCTCAAGGCTGCTCCAGGGTTGCTTCTGTGCTTCCCTGCCCAAGACCAGACCAATCTCCACCCACGGTGGCCACATCTGCCAGAGTGAATGTTCCCCTGCAGCAGAGACACCCTTTCTCATTCCTCCATAGCCAGCTCAGCTGAGCTCCTGCCACCTGGGCACAGCATGGGCCAGCCCAGCGCTCTCTCCCCGCAGGACAACAGCAATCCTCAAGAAAAGCCCCCCGAGCCCCTCTGGCCTCGGAGACCAGGTGCAGATTGGGACAGGCGTGGGCAAGTCTGAGGGCAGGTTGAGGAGCAGGGTCCAGGGCAGATGCCCTGCCATCCCGCAGCTCCTACCTTGAGGGGAGAGGAGGTTCCAGTCCGGCTCTGCCGTGGGGTGACCTGCCCCTGGGGTGTCTCCCTCCAGCACTGCCCTGTCACTGCCCACGCGAAGCACCGCAGCAACACAATGCCACACCACGCTCCACAGCTCTGAGGCAGCAAAGCCCTGCTCCATGGCCACGTCCTCCTAAAGATGGGGAGACCGGTGTCGGAGGGTGTCCTGGTCCCGCACGAATCCCCAGGGTTCTGGTCCACATCCCTGCCAGCCTAATGGTCCTGGGAAGGCCAGGCCTGGACGGACGTGGCCCAGGGGGAGGAGAGGGGGCCAGGCAGCTGGCAGCCCTGCTGCGCTTGCTGACAGTGCCACTCCCCAGGCATATCTGCTCTCCCTCACTCCAGTGTGCCCATGAATCACCCCTCCCTGCCCACCACCCTCTCACCAACCCTCCAGAGCTCCACAGACAACCCAGGGACATTAGGTGACTTTCACAGGGCTGCACAGCTCAGCCAAAGCTGCCTGGTTCCCTGGTTTGCCTCAGCCTCCATTACCAATCCACATTTGGGCCTTTTTGCCCCCATACCCTTTAGCAGGGACCAGGCAAAGGGAGATAGGTAGGCTGGTACCTGGGCAAGCAGCTTCGGCAGGAGGA